CTGATAAATGGGCACGAAACCGGCAGCATCTCAGTCATCTACTTCTCTCCTGGGCTGACAAGACAGAGAGCTGTTACAACACGTCCGAGGGGGCTACATGGTCCACAACAGAAGCCTGCATTATACCCTCTGGGTAGCAAATCAGCCTCAACTCCAGAAGTGTCACAACTTGTACCTGCACATTCCCCAGCTGCTGGAAGCCAGCTGGTCACCTACTCCAGCATGCTTTTGGATTTGAATCCCCACAACACAAAAAGTTACAGCTCCCGCTTTTGTGAAGTCAACTTCCTCCCAAAGACGGAATCCAAGTCACGACTAGCACATATCCCGGGGAAGAACGAGCTGACCCTCTCTAGCCCCAAGTCGAGAAAGTCCCTGCCGCAGGCAGGCGCCGCCTCACCTCCTTCTTTCTTTGGGCGGAGGCCGAGGGAAGCCTGGAAACGAGCAGCAGTGCCACCGCCGCGGTCACACACACACACCAGAGCCACCTCGGAGAGGCCATGTTCGCTCGTCTCCCTTGGCGGCCAGGCGAAACTTTCTTCCAGCAAGGTCCGAGGGTGGGGCGTGAGAACGGGCGAACCGAACCCTTGCCGCTCCCCATTGGCCCGGCTCAGCCCTACCGGGCGACCCCTCGCATTACGTCACGCGCCGCAGACGCCCGCTAAAAAACCAGTTCGCTTCTGATTGGTTCCAGGGAGCCAATAGGGAAAGGATAATCTGGAGGTTGCTTATTGGTCTGCTAAAAAAGGCTGCACCGCCTCCCTTTCGTGGTGCGTAAAGACGTCGCGGTTAGCAAATTTTAATACGCATGCGCAGCTTAAGGATGTGCGGGGGGGAGGGGGCGGGGGCGGGGGCGGGGGGGCGGGGGCGGGGTGTCGTACAAAATGGTTTATACATTTAAAAATGGAATCATCCTCCAGAAAGCGTTCGTTTAGAATTGTTTGAAACTCAAGCCGGCCTAAGTAATGCAAGCCTCTAATCCAAGCATTGGTTTTGATATGTGAAGGCAAGAGCACTAAGAATTCAAGGCCATCTTTGGCTCCATTGCCAGGGTTCCAGGCCAGCCTGAGCAATTAAGATTGTGTCAAAAAAAGAGCCCTTGTGGTTTCTCACAACGAAATTCTTAGCTTTTGGGGTGGGGTGGGGATGGAAATGGAGGCAGGAGGATTAGGAGTTTAAGAAATTAAACAAACTTTCAGAGTTCCAGTCTAGTCAGGGCTACAAGAGATCTTAGATCAAAAAACGTTTTTTTGAAACCTACTTATTTAGTATAATATTTTTGAAAAGGGGTTGGAGAAGTCTCTCAACAGTTAACTGTTCTTGCCGAGGACACTACCAGCACCCATATGACCGCTAACAACCAAGCAAAGCTCTAGGTCCAGGGGATCTGATGCCTGTTTCTGATGTCCACAAGAACCAGGCACCAGACCTGATGCACAAACATTCATGCAGCCAAAATACTCATAGACACACAGTAAAAAAATTGTTTTTCGAGACAAGGTTTCTCTGTGAATAACAGTCCTGGCTGTTCTGTATCTTGCTTTGTAGACCAGGCTGGCCACAAACTAATAGATCCACCTGCTTCTGCCTCCGGAGTGCTGGGATAAAAGGCGTGTGCCACTACTGACAGGTTTTCTCTTTTTCTTTTTTTGAGTGCATACTGTTTTTGCAAATGGCTGTTCCCATCACCCATGTTAAGGTACTCACAATTGCCTGCAACTCCAGCTGTTGGGCCCCGGATTTCATGACCGCCTCAGACATCTGCCCTTGGGGCAGATACCAAAAGAGACACAAACACATATGATTTAAAATAATAAAAAAATTTAAATTATTCTAGCTGAGTATGCTAGCACATGCCTTTTATCCCAGCCGCACTTGAGAGGCAGAGGCGGGCGGATCTGTGAATTTGGATCTTGCAAAAATGTCCTCTGACCTCCACATATGCACCACAGTATACAAGTACCTGTAAGCATTTCGACGGATTGCATGGGATGGGCAGGGATTCTGGCACTCAGGAGCCAAGGAATACCACAGGTCACATTAAGCATAGCAGCTCACAGCCTTGCTTCAGGGAAAGGCTTCCTCAGCTCTGCTCTGGCAGGCGAAGTTGTTACAATTCACCTCCAGTCCCCCTGAGAGTATAAAAATTCGGGTTTACCCAGGGAAACCTTCCCCGGGGATAGATTTCCCAGTGAAAAGTGTTACAGCCCTGCATCCACTCTGCCCAGGGTCGTCTCTGCTCCTATGAAAGGAGGTCTCACCCAAACCTCATTCAAGAGATTAGGAGGGAGGAATCCAAGAGAGTGGCTGCCTCTACTAGGGTGGAAAGAGGCAGCAGGACAGCCACAAGCTGGACATAGGAATGGTTTTGGGAATATTAGGGGCTGAGCTGTTCTAAGGAGATTTCCAGGGTGTGTGTAGGCATTTCGGGCAGATGGGGATGGGTCAGGTATTCTGGCATTCGGGAGTCACAGAATACTGAGTGTTACACAGCTCAGATGGAAAGGTATCCTGGGGCTCGGGAGTCACAGAATACTGAGTGTTACACAGCTCAGGTGGAAAGGTATCCTGGAGCTCAGGAGTCACAGAATCCTGAGTGTTACACAGCTCAGGTGGAAAGGTATCCTGGAGCTCGGGAGCCAAGGACCACCACAGGTTGCAGTAAGCTTAGCAGCTTACAGCCCTGCCTCAGGGAAAGGCTTCCCCATTGTATTGGCTCTTCTCCAGCAGGACAGGGTCTTCCAGCTGGGGATGTTCGCCCAGTGTAGCAGTTTTCTTCAGGCAGGAGGTTTCACAGGTGAAGTTGCTACAGTTCAGCACTGCTCCCCGAGAGCGAGAGCCGCAAGGGAAGGTTTCCCCCGGAAAAAGTGTTACAGCCCTGCTTGCTCTGCTCTGTCTGCTCTGCCCAGGGTCTCCTCTGCTCCGCTGCCACCACAACAGATCTTCATCCAAAACTCATCAAAGGGGTTTACTGGGAGGAAAGAATCCAGGAGAGTGGCTGAGGACAGCCTGGTAGAGCAAACAGCCACAAGCTGAACAGACACAAAGTTTATATACGGCTTCCTGGGTGGGGATTGGTCAGATTTCAATGCTGAGTTCAGATCGGCTCCTGCACAAGGATTGGTTAGTTTTCTGCACAGGGTTAGGGTCAGATTTGGCTCTGGTTTCATGGCCAAAGTGTGTTTCTTTCTCTGGTCCTTTTTAGCCTTTTGGTTCTAATTTTAGGGCCAGGGTATGTTTCTTTCACTGGGGCTGATTCCAGGGATAAAGTGTGTTCCTTTGGCACTGGTTTCAGGTCCAGGGTGCATTTCTTTGGTTGTGGTTGCAGGGCCAAAGTGTGTTTCTTTGGCTCTGCTCAGGGTGTGTTTCTTTGGCCCACACACACACACACACACACACACACACACACACACACACACACACACCAATTTTGTAAATATTTTATTTATTTATTGTGTGTACAGTCTTCTGCCTGTATGCCAGCAGAGGGCACCGGATCTCATTCAAGGTGTTTGTGGTTGCTGGGAATTGAACTCAGGACCTCTGGAAGAACAGTCAGTGCTCTTAACCATTGAGCCATCTCTCCATCCCACAAATAAAAATTAATTTTTTTTGCCATTTTGGCAGCACATGCACTAAGTGTGGGACCACACAAAGGCAATTGCTATGGCCCCTGAAAAGTTTTTTTCTTTTAATTTATTAATGGTATTTTAAAATTCTTCACTAGAAACTTAGAGTACCAAGAGGGCTTTGAAGACAGCAAATGCCATTTTACTAGTTAGTTAGTTTTGTTGGTGGGAGCAAAAGGAAGATTGTGAAGAAGCATTTCCCTCTTTTTTAAAATATTCAGTGGTCTCAGCCAGTTTTCATCAGACACAGCTCAGGAATCCTCCAGTGTTTGGTCCAGTTCTGTTTGCTGGATTATAGAGGATTATAAAATGGAGGTGCTTCACTAGAAAATAATAATAACCTAAAGAAGAAAAATCACAAGTAACAGCAAAACAAAATCAATCTACTTATAATTTGGATTTACTTATTTTGCAGTACAAAGGATTGAGTACAGGGCCCCATTCAAGCTGGGCATTTATTCTGAGTGTATGAGCATACTTGGTTATTACTCTTGCAGGTCCTACTTGAAAGTAAAATCCCCACAGAATCATCCCACTATTTGGAGAGTTAAGGAGACGTGGGTTGCAAGGAAAATAACTGGTCTCAATGTAAAGAGAGGGAATAAGATGACCATGGTAGTGCATACCTCTAATCCCAGCACTCAAGAGATAGAGGATCAGGGATTCAACATCAGACTGGGCTACATAGAGAATTCCACCCTGAGCTACAAGAGACCTCCAGAAAATAGGAGAGAAATGACAGAGACAGAGAATTCAATAGCTACATATGGTGGCACATGCACATAATCCCCCTACTTAGGCTGATGCAGAAGAATCACGTGTTTGAGGCCCACTTGGGTTACATGGTGAGTCTCAACCTCAAAAAAGAGAAAAAAAATGTGAAAAGAGGATATGAACAAATCAAGCTGGGTCTCATAGGGTATCTTAATTCCAGCTACTTGGGGAGGTTGAAGTGCAAGGATTTTAAATTCAATGCCTGTCCAGGATAACCAGAACTACAAAAGGGGACCGTTCTGCGCCCCAAAATTACACAAAAAGTTTAAAAGTTAAACTTATTTGTATAGGTAACAGTAGACAGAAAATGAAAATTTTGCATTGACAACAGTTTGAAGTGAGACATCTGACCTAAACCTCTGGAGTTTTAGTGCCATCTTGAAGCTGGTGCTTTATGTAAGCTCAGTGTTTCAGCTCTCATTTGTAGAGTCTTAAACCTTCGCGTTCAAAGAGTTCTCTCACTGTTTAGTAATTACTGTTTTATGGCCCTTATGGAGCTTGAAACTACATTTCCCAGAGGCCTTTCTTCTTCCTTGCAAGAAACAGGCTCACAATTTCTATAGGTCAACCCCAAACCTCGCGAGATCTCACCAAATATCATACGGAATCCCCACAGAAAGCCATTTTGTTTTTCAGGACTCTTTGCAAGGGTACCCGGGGCGAATTTGAACCAAGGCAGCAGCTGTGATCACTGCAGTTCCAGCTTCTTCTCCGCGATGTTGCCCTTCGCCAAAAATGCACTAAGCCGTCTCCAAGGTGAGCAGATAACGTGGCCGAATCCTTACAGCACCCGCGGTCCCATGTGTCCTCGTGCTCTGATGCCCTTTTCCTCCGCCAGCATCCTGCACTTTTAAATTCTAGCTGCACGGTCCTCTGTATGTTCTCAAGTCACTGGGGTGGTAGCCGTGACAGTGAGTTTATTATCCCGTCGTTATGTTCCTAGCGTAGTTCTGCATTCTCATTCCTCAGGGACCTGTGATTTCCAGGAAGAATGCTTGGAGGACACCTCACTTTCCTTAAGTGATGTTCTAAGTGATTTGGGGATGTATTTGTTACCCCAAACAGAGGAACTGATCTTTATACCGTAACGGTGGCAGTAAACCAAATCTACCTCACCTGGATTCATAGCAAGGGAAAACCCTAAGTGGTAGCGTGGCAGCTTTATTCATCTGTAGTTTATTAACGGACTATTAACTAGCGGGAAAACTCGGGGTCATTTTCTCTTGTTTGAAAGTTAAGCAAGTACATAGAAATTTGAGACTAGCGTTATATATAGAGAATGCATTGTATTGGAGAGAAAAAATCATTTTCATAATTGGTTTTCCTTGAAGGTGACCTTCAGTAATGTGAATAGAGGTGACCTTACACAACTACTTTTTAGCTTGCTTTTCTAGCCATGTTTTAATTTTTATTTTACAGAAGCATTAGTAATTACAAATTGTGTTATAAACGCTGAAGTACTGCAGGAATAATTGAAAAAAAATAGAAGCCCAGCTGATGTTTCATTTGCTACAAAGTGTATTATTATTTTTTCACTTTGGGCAAATCATTTGACTTTATTAACTTGTTTTCTTGTGTTTGCAAAACATATTAGTAAATACATACTTCATAAGATCATTAAGCAAACTCTGGTCAATTAACACCCCCTCCTTGTGTAGAGGAGAGACTTAAGGAAATCTACATGGCAAATCAGAGTGTTGAAACAACAGTTGTTTGGTAATTTCAATTTATTTGATCTTTAAGCGATTTAGGGATTTTTATGCTACAAGAAAAGGTTATCTTTTTTTTTTTTTGGTTTTTCGAGACAGGGTTTCTCTGTGGTTTTGGAGGCTGTCCTGGAACTAGCTCTTGTAGACCAGGCTGGCCTCGAACTCACAGAGATCCGCCTGCCTGCTGGGATTAAAGGCGTGTGCCACCAAGCCCAGCGAAAAGGTTATCTTAAAAGTTTGTTTCTCTGTATTTTGTTTCTCAGTGTGGAATTCCTATACTCACTTTTAAGTGTTGTAGGGGCAGAATACATTATCAATTTGCTTTATCTGGATGTGGGTGTTTTCTGAGGGAGGGTCTCAAGTAGACTAGGCTTAATATGTAGCCAAGGATCCTTTGCCTCCGCTCGGGTTACAGGTACTTAGCACCTTTATAGACTTCGGGGTGTGTGTGTGTGTGTGTTTCTGCAGAGTTATTGATCAAGTCCAGGAAATGTTCAGCAAGCACTACACCAATTGAGCTACATTCTTTCTGGGTGGAACTGGTTAAAGGTGAAAATGAAAGCTAAGTAAAACAGCTAAAGAACTAAATAATGGTTAAATAATTATCATAATTATACCACATAAAGACCATTATTTTATTTTTGGGAGGTGATGGGGTTTGAGCCCAAAGCTCTGCCACTAAACTATAACACCAACCTGAAATGGTAGTTTGTGGACAGCATTTTTATTTTGTTTTTATTTTTGAAATGGTTTCACTCTATTCCAGGCTGGCCTTCCAAGGGCTGAGAGTACAGGTGTGAACCACCACATCTGAAATCAACAGTGCTCTTTTTCTACTATATCTGTAAGCACACTTAAATACCTTTAAAACAATAGGGCTAGGCTCACAACCAAAAACAAAAGAACATGATACCCAGGCTGGAGAGGAAAAACAAAAACAAATAGCTTTTCTTGGTATTTACCACTTCTTTCTAGTTTTGTTCCTTATTAACTTGCCTATAAACCTTGTTCTTGGGCTGGAGAGATGGCTCAGAGGTTAAGAGCACTGACTGCTCTTCCAGAGGTCTTGAGTTCAATTCCCAGCAACCACATGGTGGCTCACAACCATCTACAATTCAATCTGGTGTATATGTAATAAATAAATAAATCTTTAAAACAAAGACCTTGTTCTTCATCAAAACTAAAGTGGCTTTCTGGTACAGTAGATCTATCTATCTCTGTCCATTGTAATTTCACTTTTCTTTTTCTTTTTTTGGTTTTTCGAGACAGGGTTTCTCTGTGGCTTTGGAGGCTGTCCTGGAACTCTGTAGACCAGGCTGGCCTTGAACTCACAGAGATCCATCTGCCTCTGCCTCCCGAGTGCTGGGATTAAAGGCATGAGTAACCACTGCTTGGCTTCTCTATTTATTTGAGACAGGGTCTCATGCATTTTAGGCTGCCTGTGGATCCTGTCTCCACCTTCCAAGTGCTGGAATTAGAAATATGCCTGCTTATATACTTACTATATAATTGAGCCTTATTCATTACTAATTATTTTAAAATTTATCTTATCATAGTTTGGACGTATTTTGTTGTAATTTTAAGTTTATAAACATTTGGTGAGTAGTCTGATAATTTTGAGTTTATTTTCCCTTGTATATTTTAAATTATTGAGCAATGTTGAGTAAATTTTAGTGAAATTTGAAGTCATGGGTATTCAAATTAATAAGTGGTATTCAATAAACAATTACTGACATACGCACCTCCAGTTTTCCTTTTTCTCCAACCATTTTTTGAGACAGGGTGTCACTATAGAGCTCCAGCTGACTGGACCTTACTATATAGTTCAGGCTGGACTTGAACTCAAAAATATCTGTCTGCCTCTGAAGAGCTTAGATTAAAAGATGTGTGCCATCATTCCTGTCCTCAAACTTTTATTCTGAACACTTTTAGGAATCTAGAAAATCGAGAATCGGTGTGAAGAACATTCACCATTATGTGTTAAAATTTTGTTATGTTTCTTAAATCCTGCTTCTGTCCATGTGTCACTTTATCATACCAATTTTTTTGAGAGAGCGCATTTCTCTGTAGCTCAGTCTAGCCTAGAATTCACTGTGTAGCCCAGGTTGACCGTAAACTCGTCTCCTGTCCAATTCCCAAATGCTGAGATTACAGATGTGAGCCCCAGGGCTTGGCAGTTTATCTTATTTGCAGAGCACTTGGGAAGGTGCTTACTTGGTCAACATTTAGGGCAGCCAGTTGAATTGCGTCGTAGTAGTAGTAGTAGTAGTAGTAGTAGTAGTAGTAGTAGTAGTAGTAGTAGTATGCTTTCCTGCTTGGCAGTTGTTCTCTCTGTTTTAATAATTGACACATATATTTCTGTGTTCTTTTTCAAGTTCGAAGCATTCAGCAAGTGGTAGCAAGGCAGAACCACCAGAAGCGGGCACCGAATTTCCATGACAAATATGGAAATGCAATATTAGCTGGTGGAGCTCTCTTCTGTATTTCTACATGGACATATGTAAGTACTAATATATTGGTTGGTTATTTCTTTTGCAGTGCTAGGGATTGAACTCAGGGTCTCTGACATGTTACGCAAGTGCTCTGCCATTGAGCTATACTCTCAGGCTCAGTGGTTTTTTTGTTTAGATATGTTTTATTGTCATCTAATGTATGTATTGGAAATGCTACATTTCTACCTAAGGAGGGGTTTGAAAGACTGATCATCCACCCAATGTGGGTTTTATTTTCATTTGCATTCAGCATTCACTCATCTTCTGTTAATGTTTCCAGTAACAAATTGCTTGTTGGATTATAAGGCAGCCCTTTTTCATATTGTGTAGCTATTAGAAGGATCTTATCTGTGGAACCCAAACATGGTGGTATATTCCTGTAATGTCAGCCCTTGAGAGGCTTACACAAGAGGATTTCAGGTGTGAGCTTAGCCTGGGCTATATAGTGTATATAGTGAGACCTTATCTTTAAAAACATTCTAATGTTAAGTATGCTTCCATCATAAATTGTACATAAGTGAATTGTAGTACAGAAATTGTGACCCATCACATTTCCATATGACAGCCATTGGAGGACTTTTATCATAAGTTGTAAAGTATATGCTTAACATTGGCTGGGCCCTGGGTTCAATCCACCAAAAACAATATACCCCCAAACCATAGTATAGTATCTTTCTTTAATTTGTTAAGATTAAAACATCTGTAGGTGTATTGGTCAGAGTTTTGCTCTATAATTTCTGAATTTTCATATTTTGAGTCACCTTCCTGGATGTATATCAGTGATCAGATTTCCTTCTAAAATTCTGTAATGAGACCTACGGCACAAGCCAGTGTGTTTGGAGTTATCTGCAATCCCAGCACTTGGGAGAATGAGGCAAGTGGACTGAGAATAAGACCAGCTAGAGCTATAGCAAATCTGAGGCCAACTTAGGCTACATAGTTGACTTTGTCTCAAAAACAAAACAACAAAACCTGAGCATAACTTTCTTGATAGATGAAATGTAGCTTGTTTTCCATATTTTAGGGCTCTGTTTCTGTTGCTTAACATTTTCCAGTTGCTCCATTTTCTAGTTAAAAGTAGTAATTTTGAAGTTTTTGTTTTTTGTTTTTGCATTTTTTTTTGTTTTTGTTTTTCGAGATAGAGTTTCTCTGTATTGTTTTGGAGCCTGTCCTGGAACTCGCTCGGTAGACCAGGCTGGCCTTGAACTCACAGAGATCTGCCTGCTTCTGCTTCCTGAGTGCTGGGATTAAAGGCGTGCGCCACCAATGCCCAGCAATTTTGAAGTTTTAATAAATGTATTTTGGCTGTAAGTGATACAGATTGCTGAGTGAAGTGGCATGTGTCTATAATCCTAACACTAAGGATCAAGAGTTCAGGGTCATCTTCAGCTATATATCAAGTCTGAGGCCACCTTGAGCTACATGGAGCCCTAATAAAACAAAAAGGACAGTCCGACCCTTGCCTGAAATTAAAGATACTATTAATTTTGGTGCTGGGTGCTCGCTTCAACAGTACATATACTAAAATTGGAATTATACAGAGAAGATTAGCATGGCCTCTGCAAAAGGATGACACCCAAATTCTTTTTTTTTTTTTTTTTTTTTTTTTTTTTTTGAGACAGGGTTTCTCTGTGGCTTTGGATGCTGTCCTGGAACTCACTTTGTAGACCAGGCTGGCCTCGAACTCACAGAGATCCGCCTGCCTCTGCCTTCCGAGTGCTGGGATTAAAGGCGTGCTCCACCACCGCCCGGCTGACACCCAAATTCTTGAAGTGTTCCATATAAAAATATGGTGCCTGGGGGTTGGACCCAGGGTCTAGAGTATCTAAGCATATGCATTAGCCTTAAGTCAGGTATTAAAATGAGTTCTCTTAGGTAGTTGTGCTTAACAGAGGCAATATTTTGGAGGGGAAGAAAATGAAATTTTAATTTTGAATTTAGAACAATTTCAAAATGCATTTCCTAGCCGGGCGTTGGTGGCGCACGCCTTTAATCCCAGCACTCGGGAGGCAGAGGCAGGCAGATCTCTGTGAGTTCGAGGCCAGCCTGGTCTACAAAGTGAGTTCCAGGACAGCCTCCAAAGCCACAGAGAAACCCTGTCTCGAAAAACCAAAAACAAAAAAACAAAAAAAAAATGCATTTCCTTGGTCTTCTACCCACATTCCTAGTATTTAACAGCCAGATGTGGCCAGTGACTCCTGTATTGGACAGTGCAGGTTTAGAACATTTCCTTCAACTCTGAACATTGAGTTAAGCGAACTGCTCTGGAGAATAGGACAGCAATTAGATGTGACCGTTATGAAAAGCACGTTATCCCTGGTGACTTTGTGTTTGTTATTAACCCAAGGAACAGAATTCTTTGTAATTTTCAAAAAATAGTTTCCAAATTGAGAATAGATTGTGGTTTAAATATGTATAACTGACAGCCTTTTTAATTCTTCCAGACAGCAACACAAATTGGAATAGAATGGAACCTGTCTCCTGTTGGCAGAGTCACCCCAAAGGAATGGAGAGACCAGTAGTCATGCCAGCTGGTACAATAATCAAGGAATTGTTTCAAAATCAACATAAGTGATGCCAAGTCAAAGAATCATGTATCCACTAAAATATGGCATATTGAAGAAAAAATAAAGTTACCTTTCAAACCATCATTTTAGGTTTTGTTTTCTTCCTTTGTAAGTGAAGCCAAGTGTGATGACTTTTCATTTATTTAGGCATTGTACTTGAGTCCAAAAGTTGTACTGTCTCTTAAAATGCTTTTTTTCAATGAAGTGGTATGAGGACAATCTATGATCTGGAAGGCAACTTTATAGTAAGCTAAAATCACAGTTAGTGGGTCAAGAGTTTGGTCCAGATAGGTTATGACTACGTAGACCTCATGATTATATTATGAATTGGCATTAACTCCTTTCCTCTCCTGCTTAGAGAATTTAGACTGTCACCAAACCCAAGTGAATAATGGTCCTGTAAATGTATGTTAGGTTTGCTTAGCCCCTGTAGCATATTCGACATAATTAGGTGGTGAATTTTCAGCGTAATCCTTAATTTTTAGGAACTGTCACATGCTTCCCAGTTGCAATAACAATAAGAGCATCTATTAATCATGGGTTTATAGTGATAAATTTTGATACTTACTGGCCTCTCCTGTTGGTTTTCTGTATTTCTAGCAATATTGTGTAACATTTAGGTTTGGGGATTGTCCTGAGTTTTATGTATGGCAAACTTTCTGTGTAAGATGTCAACTAAATGAAACATTAATTGAATCATATGCTCCATTACTTCTTTTGGTTAGAGATGGCATCTATAGTTATATTTATAATGTTCTAGTAAGCAGAACATGGAATCCCTGTCAAGTAGCATAGTTAAATTTAGAGAATTCTCAGATCCAAAACTGAGTTATAGAAGTTACCTTTAGCAATCTCTAAATTTACCTGCTAGGAATTGCACATTCTGCTTACTAAAAGATTGTAAGATTTGTACTTGCAAGGTTTATAACTCTGTATTACTATTATTTGATAAAATTTAAGCTGGGTGTGGTGCCATACACCTTCAACCCCAGCATTCATGTGGTAGGGAAGCAGGAAGATCACTGCAAGTTCCAGGCTAGTCATGCCCTACATAGTTGAGACCCTGTCTCAAGAAATCAAAAAACTTGAACATTTTCATGAAATCTGTAAAAATGTTCAAACTAGTATTAAGCCATTCAAATCCAAATTAATCTGAAATGTGATGTCTTAGCATGTCAGATCGAGACAGGGTTTCTCTGTGGCTTTGGAGGCTGTCCTGAAACTCGCTTGGTAGTCCAGGCTGGTCTTGAACTCACAGAGATCCGCCTGCCCTCTGCCTCCCGAGTGCTGGGATTAAAGGCGTGCGCCACCACCGCCCGGCTCCTACACCTTTTAACCTCCGAACTAGGACTCATTTATGATGAGGTAATGTCTGCTATGATTTGTTCCCTCTTGTGGGTAAATGATAGTTGTCAGCTGCTTGTAATACTTAATTTTTGTGCATGTTTGTTTTCACATTCACCCCAGTTCACATGAGGGTCAGAGGACAACTTGTGGGAATAGATTCTCATTTACCTGTAGGTCCTGGGGAATGAACTCAAGTTACCTGATTTGGCAGCAAGTATAGTATCTACTGACCCATCTTGTCCTTTGATGGATGATTTGAACACTACAATTACCATTAGTAGAAATGAAGCAGTAGTTACTTGGTTCTTGTCCCCACAATATTTTAACTTTGGTGCTTTCCTGTTACATGCACACAGGTTCTACCCTTTTGGGAATTGTCAGCTGTACCTCTAGCACCTTACTTGGAATTTTATTACCTGGAGTTGGGAAGTCACTAAATTAAATTCTGTTATGGTTGAAGAATTGAGACAATTTACCTCAGAAGCATTGCTAACCCTTTAATTTTTTTTTAGGGACTATAAAGTACTTCTAGATTACGGTGAATGCCATATAGTCCTGCTTTTAACTTTACTCTGAAATGGAATTGTCATGTATTTTTGGTTATTTAAATTCATTAAGCTTACCAAGTACAAAACACTGGTATTTTAAGAATACAGATGTTGCTCTTTTTGTTTTGTTTTTTGAGACAGGGTTTCTTTGTGTAGTCCTGGCTGTTCTGGAACTCGATCTGTAGACCAGGTTGACTCAAACTCAGAGATCACTTGCTTCTGCCTCCCCAGTGCGCCACCACAGCCTGCAGATGTTGCATTTTTATAGTTAAAAGATTTGTTCTTTCTGTGTGCCACTGCCTGGAGGTGCCAGTGGAGGCCAGAATAGAGTGTTGGATCCCTTGGGGCTGGAGTTAGGGGCACATTCGAGCCCTTTTGGGAAGTACTCTTAACCACAGGGCCACTCCAGCCCCAGATGTTTCCTTACCCTGGTGACTTCATTAAGAATATATTAATGTCATTGAAGATACTTAATATTTACTGAACTCCTAGCAAACCTAAAAGTTACTGAAGACATTGTCTTATGAAAGAAAGCACATGCAATATAATCATAAAAAGAATGTTAATATGCTTGAACATTCTTGGGCAGTAAAGAGGATGGAGGCAAAGATGACATTTTAGAATGAGGTGACGATCTAGATTAACTAGAGCAGTAGCTGACCTGCTATCCTGCTTCTCTAAAGCTTGTTTCCTGGCTCCTACCTACTATTGAGTGAATGTTGTTTAACCGTTCAACGACAATTGTATTGAGGGGAAAAATGAGTACCAAGTGGCCAAAGGTATCAATAATGGATAGTGATACTCTTTTTGTTTTCAAATGTCTTTAAATTTAACACCACATTGCACTTATAACTTGATGTTTGGGAACCTACTTTAAAGTCACCTTAGTTTCTTTAAAAGTTAGTTTTAAAATCATGTGTACATGTGCGTGGGGGTATGTGAACATTTGGGTGTTGGTGGCCTTGGAGCTCAGAAAAGGGTGTTGGGTCCCCTGGAGCTGTAGTTACAGGCAGTTTTGAACTATCCATTGTGGAAGTTGGAAACTGAATTTGGGTCCTTTACAAGAACAGTATGTGCTCTTAAACACTGAGCCATCACTCCAGTCCCCTATTATTTAAAATTTTAATTTTATTACATCTTTTTATTTGTGGGAGTTCTTTTCTTCCACCAGGGATGGAGCTCAGGTCAGTAGGTTTGGTGGGAATCATTTTTACCTGCAGGGGATTAAACTCAATTGTCAGCCACTAAGCTATACCTTCAACCCCATTGTATGATTTTTTAAAAAAGGAAATTGTGTGTGTGTGTGTGTCCACAGGCGTGCCCGCGCACAAGCTTGTACTACAGCATACATGTGGAGTTAGAGGGCAGTTTACAGCAGTCTGTCATTTGGGTGGTTTTATTTTTCTGCTTGTACATCTGTGCACCTCACGTGGGCAGTGCACTAGAAGGCCAGAAGAGGGCATTGGATTCCCTAGAACTGGAGTAAAAATTGCTGTGAACTACCATTAGTTCTCTGGAAGTCAGTGCTCTTAAATACTGAGCTATCTCTCCAGCCTGGAGACGGGGTTTTACTCTATAGCCTAGTCTGTCCAGGAACTCACTATGTAGCCCAGGCTGGTTTCAAGTCCTCATCCTCTTGCCTCATTCTTACCATCGCTGGGAATACAGGCCGGAGCCACCGTGTCAAACCAAGATGTTACTGCAAGTTCAGGATTATGATTTTTCCCGTCTGGAGTTAGTTTAGTAAGTAAACACAGTTTGCCAGGTCTACGATATTTTATGCTCGACAAGGATGAATTATAGAAGGTCTATGGCAAGCCCTTGCTGTTGTTCAAGAACTTTCTTCTTTTTTGGCTGAGTTTGTATTAGGCACTGGGGCTGGGAACCAAGGGGGACTGCAAGTGCCTAACCCACCTCTACCGAGGCTGCTTGCCGGCAGCAGGGGGCGAACGGAGCTCAAGGCGCGCGCGCGACGCGCGCTCCCTTTCACGTGACGTGGACCGTTTTCCCTTGTCGGCCCAGCTTCCGGGCTCCAGCATCACCCGGAAGTGGGGGCCGCGGAGGAGGGCGGGGCAAACGCTGCGGGCTGGGGAGGCTGGGGCTGGGACAGCCGTCGAGGGAGGAGCTGCCGCCGCTGGCGCCTAGACTCAGTGTGAGTGAGCACAGAGGCTGCTTGTGGGTAGATCGCTGCCTCCCTGCGGAGTTCCAGAGCTCTATCCCCATCGCTTGAAACCTAGGTGAGTCCCACAGCGGCTTCCCGTCGGCGACTTAACTAGGGGGGCCGTTTTGTCAGTTTTTCTACTGTCTAGAGTAGTGAGAAGGTCACTACGCTTAAGCTGGGGCAGTATCTAAACTTCACAACTCACCTATTAGGCTTTACACTCCCAATCCGGACAGAGAAGGAAGGTTGGGTCCTGATTTTTTGTCACTTTGTTGTGCTCTCCTGGAGAGAGTATTCTGACCATCTGTGGCCTGTGTTAGTTAATTTTGGACACTAGGTCTGTCCGCACTGGACTTCTTGTGGACTGGGATCTTTTCTTAGTGACATTTCTTTCTACTTTAGAAACTGAGGTTCTGAAGATCATCACTGACTAAATAGTTTTCGAAAACAGGCATTTTTATTTGGCTTCTTGTCAAGCTCGAGGAGCTAAACGGAGAGTCGTCACCCCTTCGTTTTGTTCTTTGTGCCATCCCTCTCCCACCCTAGGACGCCTTTCTGAGGCCCTTCCTCTGTCTCCTTTCTCCTCTTCCTCTTCCTCCCCCTTCTCGGTGCTGGGGGTTGAATTCAGTGTCTACAACATGCTGGGTTGCATCTTACTTTTGAAAATTTTGTTGCCGAGGTTATTTTAAACTCGGACAACACTCATGATTTTTTTACAAGCCAATATTTTCCTAGGATCTGAACTTTGTTTTAATTATAGCCTCATTATTTAGTAATAAGACTTTGTATTGAGACAGCATTGCAGAACATTGAATTAGGTGATACTGCGGTGTGAGGCATGGGGTGATGCCAGATTGGGACAGTTCCTGGACTCAAAAGAGTTTGCAATCAATTGAGTCCAATCCAGCTATGAAGTCCGCGGGTTCTCGGAGCCCCACTAATTGGGTAAACAACTTAGGTTGTTTATACCATCCTTTTAATGAAAGATTATTTTCAATAGCAATTTTAGTTTTTTAATTTCAAACTTT